TTGACGTTAATCAGTCACTTGCACTCTCAATTTTCAAATAAGTTTCATCAGAAGATATAAATTGAGATCATTTTCACCTGCACGTAAGTGCTTAGCAGCACGTTCCCCAGGATAAGAATAATTTACTAAAGTTGTCAAGTCCCCTTTAAAAGGAAGGATCATCTTTGGTTTCATCAAAATTTCTTGATTTAGCTTTCAGGCAATTTTTAATGGTTCTACGACGTCTCACAAAGTTGGAAAACTCCGCGAGAGAACAGAATATGAGTTTCAGATCCAAGCAAGTAACGATGCTGGGACCGGGCCTCTTTCAGATATCTACAGGTTTAGTACGACAGCGCAGCCACCTTTAGCTGTTAAAGGTATGGACGCAAGAGCCTAGTAGAAATTGAATTTTAAAAAAAGATAAAAATTTAGTTGGAATTGCATTTTCCTACGGTCGCTTGATATGTCGCGTCAAATGACATCGAAGGCAACCATAAGAAAATTTATAGTGGTGCCATTTGGCAAACCTGTGGTAGCCCGTGGCAAACATACCATAGGCTGCTTGGGTTACCTGTGCTTTCCAAAGTAAACCTTATCCAATCTCGTACCCTGAGCCTTCGTTTTTCTTGGCCAGCGCCTCGACAAACACTAGACTCTGGGATAACGGAATTTTTACTACGGMTTTATGTCTTCCGATTTCCACTGCGCATGACTCGATATCCAAACGGCTTTGGATCGAATTTCCTCGAGAAAATCGCCTTAAAGAAAGTCAAAAYAGGAACGTACAATATCCCAAGTAATTGATCTTCCTTCGACAAAGTAAATTCGGACAGATTATGGTTTGGCCATAGAAAATTTGGAATGTTTTCCGATCGCGACGGTTGGCCAGTTGGCGCGACAGTTCGTCGCTTCGTCGCGGCTAAATTTAACTGCATTTCGGTAATGCACTTCTTTCTTTCGGTAATGCAATCTTTTTCATCACAATTTCCTGCTTGATTGACTTAATAAATAATTTTAAAGCAAGAATCTAAGGTAAAATTTCGAGATAAAACATGAATTTGCATGTTTTCCTTGGTGTAATTTCACTTCCGGCGGCATTTGTTTCAATTTCAAGAACCAATCAAAATTCGCAAAAAATTCCGATACCCCAGAGTCTTACGTTTTCGGCGCTGGCCAAGAGAACGAAGACTCTGGGTACGAGATTGTACCTTATCTATAATAGACCTCTGAACCTTTTACGTCACTACTTCATTTGCAATGCATTGTGGGATAAGTTTCTAGAGAAAACAAAAGAAATTCGCCATGTTCTGTCCCAAATATATCCTACAATGCATTGCATATACGGTACATGACGTAAAAGCTTCAGAGGTCTATAGAAAGACTATGAAATAAGGCCATTTTATTGATTCATAGGTCTGACTGCTGAGTACATCACAGAAAATTCCTTCACTCTAAGCTGGGATGCAGTTCCTTCTATCAAGCATGGTGACACGATTAGCTATTTATTGCAGAGTCAAGAATTAGGAAGACAGCAGGACTTCGRACGGGTAATTTTTGACAACAATAGCGMCAATTTTTCAATGAAACTTTCATTTCCGGCGGAACTTGAATGAATGAAAGGAAACACTGCACCCACAAACTGAAAAGTATTGACTATTCTTAAAATTCCAGTACGGGCGGGAATATCCTCGAATCTATGTCGATTTCTTATTCTGTTTTTAGGAACGAGGCTATTCCCGCCTGTATCGGAATTTTAGG